TCCACTGTGTGTCCTAATTTCCCACCCATAAAAGCCAATAAACACCGTTTTCGTAGGAAAGCATGCAAAGAGTTGGGATTAGTAAGTGGGGCTACATAAGCTACTGTTGCCGAACAAACTTTATCGAACACCGGAATCATGGTTTTAGTGGTCTGAGTTTTCGGACTCCCGCAGAAGTCCATCATGGCACGGCTGCGCATTGTAGCCTTGGGGCGGTGTGCAATTCCGACGCCTAGTCCCGCGGCAAGGCGTTCGGTCGCTTCAGACACATCCTAGATGTATGACTTTTAATTGACCCTTCCGCCATAAATGTTGCTTGTTTTCGTTGAAGATTTTATTTCTGTAAATTTTCCCACCCAACACGCCAATCTCACCTACTTGCACAGATTGACATAGTCCGCGGTGGCCAGTCGGCGTCCACACCATACAATTACTGATTTTCCACACGTTCAAATTTTAGTTGTTTTGTACACACGCTATAACTAGCCCCTCTTTTTGCTGTTTCTCATCTCTGACGACGGACTCCTGTAGGAGTTCGAAAGCTCAGAATAATAATAAAAATCGATCAGGTGCTCGACCATCCTTCGTCTTTACCCATGCAAATAACGGGAACGCGAACGTTCTCCTTCATTCGTCACAAAGTAAGTGTTTACAAGAACGTTTACCTTAGTATTTGTAGTCTAAATTAGTGTGACAAGACAATTTTAGCGACAACGCTACTATTGTTTGCAAGAAAACTTTTAAGTAACCTGTAGAGAAAGCTTCATGGTTACGTGTTCTGTCTGTCTACGCGACATCGATCAAACCGAGAGAACTTTGAAAGCAGTCGCCCACTTTGGTCTGAGTGTCGGACCAACGTACTGATTCTTTCTTACTCGATCCAAGAAAAAGCTCCGAGGGTTTGGGGTCCGACCGACTGAGGACGGTGATGCACACGTCTGAAAAAAGGTTCTACAGGAAATCATCCTCTCATCAGACCGTCCTGCGCAGCCAGTGTTTGAAAAGCTACAGTTCAGTCGCACCTTAGTACAGCAGGCGAAACATATCTGTGACTTCTGCATGAAAATCGGTCGCAGTAAGGCGGCGGAAGCGAGGAAGTGCACTTTTAGCGCAACCGATGAGGATAAGGATGAATTGGATGGCAATCCAAACGGGGCGAGGGGATAGGAACGTCCCATTTAGAATAGTTGACCTTGAGATGAATTTAGTAAAGAGTAGATATCCCCGTTCTTTTAATCCTAACACGAAACCTAATATAGTAGTCGCCGGCTACTAAGCCCACGTCGGGCCCAGACCAAATTGCGCTTAATAGGCGGCTGGGTTTATTAACCGTGGGCTTAATAGCCGGCGACTACTGTATAAAAATAAACTGCAACCTTAATCTCAACCCTACCCTAAATTTAAAACTTACGGTTAACGCGAACCTAAATCTCAACACTATCTTGACCCTAACTCCAACAGTAACACTAACCCCTGTTGTAAATGTAGCCAAAGCCGAGATGTCGCCGCCTAATTACGCCTCGTGTGAGTTCCCAATGAAGGACACGTCAAGAAGAGCGCAAAAGCAGAAGTCTTCGAGCGTACTTAGTACAACATATTTAAGGTAAAAAGCGGGTAAAGCTATGTCCTTCGGGCCAACCAGCTTCTGTCCTGGTGTGGGTAGCGATACGACTGGCTCGTGACTCAACGGCTGGATTGTCAGAGTCTTGGTCTGGCTGCAGCTTTGAACTTTAAATTATTGATTGATTGACTGTCAGTCTGCGTTCGCCGCGTGTAGGCCGATCCATAACCTGCGGTGAGCGCAGCTCGCTGCCTGCATGCCAGCTGGCTGCTCCTAACAACTCCAACCTTAAGCATAACCCTAACCCTCACCTTAATTCTAGACCTAGTTTCCATGGGATGCAGCGCAAAGCCGCGTTTATTGTGGGCGGTTCCTATGCCCATGTCCTGTTTAGGCGACCATACAAACCATCCTTACCCGATGAGTGCCAACCTGTGTGAAGTGCGTGCAGCGGCTTAGCAGATAGATCTGCGACAATGGAGGGGGCCACATGAAAGAGTGTAAGACTTACGTAAATTATCATAGCGGAGCCATGAACAACAATTGGCTGCGGAAGGTCGCGCAAGGGGCAGTTCACCAGACCGAGGATGGTGAGGGTGGAACAGAGGGAGAGCTCGGCCGGCAAGTTGTTCAGGTTGACGTTATCGTTCAGATGGAGATCACGCAGTACCGGCATGTTACCTGCAGAGGGGGAACAGCAGAGGGTGGGGTAAAGCGTAATACAATTTGGTAGTAGCTGGAATGAGGAGAGCGAGAGAGAGGGGGAATTCAAATGTCTGAAACCAACTTCGTAAGCAACGGCTCTGAAGAGCTAACATTTCTGGGGTGTTCATTCTCGGGTGGAAGATCCTATCCCGACAGCGAGTTGCAGTATTGATAGGATGCAGTCACTGTGCTACTGCACACTTATGACAATCAACGACTCCCCTGTCGTTACTCCCCCTTTCTCCGGATACACGCCTCAACCTGCACAAGTTTGCAAAAGTTATAAGTAGGCACTTATTTGCACAGGGGTAGACCAAATCGGAAGGTAGCAGGTGGAGCTGCGTGAGCTGATCATGGAGCTGGAACAGTAGTAAAAACAAATATAATGCGTACATTTAGCCGGTCTTTCTTTTGCAAAAAGTTCATGCGAAGATTCACATGTTTCAGCGGCTACAATGTGACGCAATCTGGGAGATTTCCTCATCGGGTCTAACGCTCTACCACTGAGCAACGGGCTCATTATTTCGCCGGTAGTGATTGGGCACAGTGGCATTCAACGGGTAAAGGTTACGGAACATGCGGCCAGGTGTGGCTGAACGATGACGGCTAGCAAGTTAGAAAGGTGCATGCCAGTCCCCCTGGTCGTTATCAGTAGATGACCCGAATATGCAACTAGTAGCTATAGGACGGTCCAAGCAAGCCAAGCAAGCTGCAGTAATTCGACGAAAGGTAGGTTTAACAGTGGTGCGTCCAAACGGTTATCCAAAACAAAACTTTATGAAGAAAAAACATCTGAAGAAGCGTGGGGGGGTGTTAAGGCATACCGATCTCACTGGGCAGCTCCAAGATGTCATTTTCTCCAGCTTTGATTTGCTTCAGGTTCAGCATAGACCTGAAATGAACCAGAAAAGGTGTGATGCCAAGAAAAAAAATAAAGAGGGAGGGATCTAAAACAGGGCATGCATGCTGCCAAATGGTCAAGTGACTAGGATCCATACCGCAGGAGTGCGCAGCCTCGGGTTGGGCTATAAGTACTTAGCGACGACAAAATAAGCCGAAAGCGGTCATTCCAGTCTCGTACAGGACTTTGTCAGTAGACACTCATTAATTAGTTGCTGTTTGTCGCCAGCCAACCCTCTGCACGAACTGTACTATAAGCTCCAGAGCGAAAGGAAAAAGCCCACTTTCGGCCAGACATCAGAATAATTGAGTTCACGCCATTCCCACGTAAATAACGATGTCTCGATGTCAGCCGATATGACTGGAACCCGCCGGTGAAACGGCAAGGGCGTTGGTCT